GGTTGGAGAATAAATTATCAATCAATTCCCATTCAGGTTACCTTTTCTTCCTTGCTTCGAAAAGAATTTCTTTATGGGCCTTTTTCTTACGCCATCAGAAAAATCCAGTACAAAATTCTAACTTTTCTCTTCTCTGGACGAATCTGTACTATTCAGCTGCTGCCAATTCTTAAGATGCTTGGTTATCAACAGCCTCTCAAGGGAAGAATTTTAAATGGTTTTGTGACGGCAAGAAGGCTGTTGGGGAGGGCCTCTTTAAACAGACTGCCAAGTTACCATCATCGTCATCATCGTATACATGCAGGAAGAAAACAGATAATATGAAAGAAGAGAGGATTACATAGCAGCTAATAGATGACATGCTCTTAGCATGTTCTAGAATTTTCTCTTCATTCCAAAGGTCGATGGAATTTCCAAGCACTGCCCTCTAATTTCGACAAGTAAAGCGCCAGCCCGTTTAATCTCTTCTCATCAGAATGTCTGAAAGTACCCTGGGCTCTGAAGAAGCATTTATAAATAGGCCTCAGGTTACGAAAGGCAGCCGTTTAAACACAATGGACAAAAAACTCAACCTTCTCAATGAAAAAGTAGACAAACTGTTACATTTCCAAGAAGACTTGACCGAAAAACTCCAGAAAGTTAATGAAGGGATTGATGATTTGGGGAAAGGCCTCCATCAGCTATGTGTATCACAAACTCCTGCTGACCCAATCTGTGGAATAAATAGAAGTCTGCAATGGGAAGATAACGTCCATCAGGTAGAAACTCAGAACGCGTACACTGAGATTTTGAACCTGATGAAAGCAACACATCAAGATGCCTCAAAGTACAAGGAAAAGATGGAGAAGATGGAGACATCTGTAGATGCTATTGACAAGATGGTGAAATGTTTGGGAGAAATGTTCAAAAACTCAAAGGTGGTGGATTTCATTCTGAAAGGGTGTGTTCCTTGGTGGAAAGGGAGTTTGCTTGAAATCCTGGAAGAGGTGAGCACCTTCTCATTCCTGTGTGGGAATCTTTAATTTTTCCCATACGAGGAATATTTGATGAAATTATATCCAATGCCTTTAGACTCTCTTGGTGTGGCTTTGTCTTTTTGACTACTGCTGTTTAACAAATAGGGTTGAATTATGTAGATTTGCTTTCTACCTCTGGTTTTTCTTTGTGACTGTATTTTAAACAGGAGTGGGGACACTGGAAAAAAGAGTGACAAGAAACCAAGTCTAGTCTTCTCATTCTTAAAAATTGCATGGAATAAAGGCTTGTGATCAAGGTATTCTTTTCATCCTTCAGTGCAACTCACACCCATTTGCAACTATTTAAAAAAATTAGGAGCTTTTGCCCACTTTTGTACCCAGTGATCCAAGAGTGCAAGAGGAGAAAATACAGGCATTTTAAATGACATTTAAATTGGGAATGTCAGTTGTAACTGAAGGATTAAAAATGAGTCCTGGATTATGGGGGGGGTGG